TTTATAACTGTTGATGGGCCTAGTAGATGTTGTCAAACAATTCAGATTAGTCCTCTTGCGATCTCGGCATGCAGCCCGATTCATTCCTCCGATTCTATGCTCATCATACAGGCTATGGCATTGTTTGTCTACAGTGACCACCTTCCTGTAATCTACCTCCTGGTTGCATGCTGACGAATTTCTGCCACTTATGATGAGATGCCAAATTGCCGCTATTCAAGCTGCCTGCGACCTTTGCACCAAGCTCTGAAGAATGTTCACCACGTCACCAAACTGACTCTCCTCCTCAGCGCTTGCTGTGTCCTCGGAAATTGGTGGACGCGCCCCCCTTTCAGGTAGGTAGTTTGACCACACCAATTCTCCACCGCGTATAAACGATATGCCATAAGATGTCTTATAGTAATTGAGTGGCGGGGCACCTTGCTTTACCGCAGGATCTTGCCTAACCGGGTTCCAGATCTTCTGGAGTATGTTGATGGCCCGGTCGATCTCTTCAGCACCGTCAGAGATGATCAGGGGTGCAGCGGCAGCGGACAGCAGTGGTTCATATTGTTGACGTGTTTGAGAAGAGACAGAAAGATTCTGTGTGTTTGACACCAATCTGGAAAATGTGTGTTCAAAATTGGCGACTTCGAGTCCAGCGAAGCCGCTGCTGATCCCTGGATAGAGTCAATACAGTGTCATTCGATCCAGCACAACATACACTCACCCTGACGGAAAATGATTCGATCTTCGGTTGCCATTGTGCACTACTTTGATTTCAAGTAGGAGAGGTGATGATGGTCTGGTGATAAGGTCCGCTGCCATCTTGGCTATGAAACCTACGTTTGGTATTAGGATTACAATCAGGGTGCTTTGCATGCGGCCCTGACTAATAAACGGGCATAGTGAAAATGCTGCGCCACTGCTGCGACTGCTACGGCAACTGCCGCGACCACTGCCTCATCTGCCAGGACTCGGAAGTTGGAACACACTATAGATTAATCTTCAGTAACACAGTTCAAGACAACGATAGCCAAGTGACTTTATATCAATTGTGTAAAGTCTTTCAAGGCAGCGATGCAGAGTCCAGAGTATGTGGCCAGCAGCAAGCAAGTGTATTTTGCTCGTGAATCAAGACTGCTTAGCAACGTCGCAACAGATACCGCAGCAGTCGCAGCACGCAACATTCTCCTTGTGCCCCTAATAAACACCTTATATAACCAATTGCAACATTTAAGATTTACGACGTCATTGGTTTATGTGGAATAAATATCGAATTGCTAAGTAGGTCTTGCTTTGCTCAACCTTCACCTTACCAAAACCAATGAATTCCAGCTCAGGACCTCATACAGACTCTGTTACATACCCACCCGCAGTTCGTGCTGTCGAAAGGGAAATTGTCTCCTCTCAACCTTCTTCGTCGTCCATGTTGTTACATTCCTCCCCCCAGGACAGACCCCCACAGAAAGATGAGCAAACACACTCGCCGTTACGCTTGAGAGGTGGTTGCATTCCTTGTCCCGTAAGTTGTCTCAAGTTGCAATAAAGATGAGCTGAAGTTCGAGTGCCAGGGCGGAATATGTTGCATCATTCCGTGTCCATGTTGTTGTTGAGACCGATCAATTACATTGACACGAAGTCTGCCCATTTAAAGGGCCGGGTATCTGTGGTCGTCTGTGTCACATCGGAGTAACGTCAGCACTAAGTAGCACATCTCGCATGCTCCTCAGTCATATATACTATATTCTTCTTCCAAGAAATACTGGATATCGGTTATTGCTCTCGCGCTTGATTTCAGATGTCGTCAAAGGTAGCATGTCCAACTCCATTTCCAGGTGTTACAATAGTGCCACATCGACTATTTTCAGTGCTATTGCAGGAGTCTCATGTACAACCCCCTATCCGATAGCAAAGGTCACTGCGTACTTTGTCACATCGACTCTTGCTCACAATTTATCATTTTTCTCCAAGGACAGCAGTCGCAACTAGCTCTCTAGGCGGACTGGCCCTTATGTTAGGGAGGACGAGGATACTTAAGTGGAATGTCCATGTCATCAGCTAGTTCGCCACCCGGCCCGAAGTAAGCCTGCAGAGTTGTCATAACAATCACGATATCCCACTATATACGTAGTACCGCAGTAATACTTGGCCTGAAATTTGGATCGCATTCAACGCGTGTGATCGTCTCGTGTTATTTTACCCGCAGCGTTACACGAAAGCACAGTAATCTTAGGCAGGTATTCCCAATCGAAAACAACACACTCCTTCGCAGCATAAGACTGAGGGTAGCTTTCTTTTGATTATCTAGGACTTTATCGAAGTTAGTACAACTCGACGTGTGTGTAAAGACGCGGCGGGGCAGTATCGAATGCTCTAGATACTAGTGAGAGCTGTTGACCTTAGGCTTAAGCTTGACCCTATGACTATTTTCCATGAGGCTGCAAGTAGTAAAGCTTAAAGCTTAAAGCTAAGGTCGGAAACTAAACTGGGATACGGATCAGATTGGTTTAAATGCGAGACGCATAGAGCCATGGACCGCACAAAGTTAGGCAGGCCATAGGTGCCGGTGAAGCTACTGTGGAGGGCGACGCACGTCGTTGACGCGGCTGGAATGCGGAGTTGAAATTTACAAAATTGAAAATCACAATACGGTGCCTGGTTGTTGAAGACTGCTGTCATATGCACCACTGGCAATGATCATAGTATCTCGACACGATGGTTAATTCCGTTCAAGTTATGTGGGGACCTGGGGCCATTGGTGAGTCTTCCAATAGTCCATTCTATGTACCTCGATTTGACTTTGAAACCAAGGATTCATGATAGCTACAGCGTATGGATTTGGGATTCAACAGTCTCTACCCAAAGTTGACATGCAGAATTATGAAGGTTTTATGGGGCAGCTTTTGGGCAGTATATCTTCTACCTCAGATCGTTTCCGCAAGATTCGAAAAGACTCAAATTATTTGTGAGTGAGAGACTTCTCCACATCCATGAAAGCCTTGACTTAATGACGTATTCGATTGCTAGGTATTCATGGTCTTGTATGTGCTTCTGTCATCTGACCATGCTCAAGTGTACACTGATAACTGACGATGATATCTCGCAGTTGTCTCGGAACAATACACGAATATGCCTTGATAGGGATGTATTGGTCTATCCTTATTTCATGCCGTCGTAGCACGTCTCATGAGTGCACGACTGAACTCCCATGGTAAGTCCATAGATCTCTTATTGGCTCCCAAATCGTCTCATCGAGAGGATAGGCAGATGGTGGCAAGTGCATTCACATTGATGTAATACTACCTATTAAAAATGGCTGCCGCAGCTAGGGGTATTTATGGCAGTGAGTCTTCTATATATTGCTGTTATCAATTTTCAACAACATCAAAAGTGTTGGATTATATTCGCAGTCCAGTGGTATGTGCTTGCCATGGTTGATTTCCTGCAGCATTATACAGAAATTGATTTGATTGTCGAAAGCTTTTATGCACACAGGGTGTGGATAAGTAAGTCATTGAGGGTCTGCAGAACCAAGAGTTTTAACGCTTTTATTCAGTCACGGAACACAACCGCTTAATTACAGGCACAATTGTGAGACCGCATTTGCATCATTTATTTCTCAGCGTAACATCAATCTTCAGTGCGCATTCGCCGCTACTGCATTAGGTCAGTTCTTTTGATCTCAGATACTCAACGGCTGACTCTTCAGCACTGTAGTTTTTGGCACGAGTGTGTCCGTCTTTCATCCCTGATGTCAATGTCCTGACTTGCTGCTGTCTTCGTCTCTAGTAACAGGCGGTGTGATGTGAGTTCTTGTCCTGGAGTTCGCATAATTACTCATGTAATTTTCAAAGATTCGATACGAGAAACCCTGTAGATCTATTCGGTAAAAAGGTTGGTCATGAAACAGTTTTGAGCAGCCTCAAGGCACTCATACTTTGATTCAGTGGTGTCAGATTTCTGCGGTTGCTGGTGCCTTGTGTGATATTCTCATTACCGGGACAGTCTGGTGGTTTTTGCGTCCTGCACGAACAGACAATGTGCGGTACGAGTCTTTTCCCTACTCTTGTGGTCTAAATCATGTTGAATTCTGTGGCTGAAGGTCAAAGCCGGATGTTCTCAATAAACTAACACAAATTTTTGTTCACATGGGTTTACTTACTTGGTATGTGTAATGTTACAAACGTGCCGAACACTCCCGTCACGAGGTTCTCCAGCATTATGGCAATCGCGATGGCTGTGCTCGTGAGTCTTGTCGTTCATGCAATATGCGGGACATAACGACAAGCACTGTTTCAGTACCAGGTTCAGGATGGTGGTCTTGGCCAGTTCTATTCCGCGCTGCCTGGATCACTACTAGCAAAAAGTTAGTATGTTGCATGCTCACTGTGCAAGCACTGAAACCAATCGCCTTAGCCTATTTGAACTCGATGATGGGAGTGTAAGTGGACCAAAGACTCCTTTACGCGAAGCTCACTAAATCGGTGGATTTGTGCTCAGGCTCAATGCTAGGAAGTCAATACGCGAACAACAACGACTTGAAGTTGTCTGCAGTTCAATGGAACTTCCTACCATACCGACCATACGTTGATCTTTCCCGTGTGGTAGCAGAGATACAATTATTGTTACAAGTTGCTTACCAGCTTTCATCTGCAGTCGTAAGCTGCCGCATGGGCCGAAAGAACAAACGACACATCCGCGCACTCACTATCATTCCTCGTTGACACCGCCGGTTGGTTCTTATTCTTATTTACCTCCTTACCGTTTGCTTTTATTACTATAGTTCTCATATTCTATCTCTTTTACTACTTCTAGCTTGAGCCGGGATGGGGATGACTATCAAGCCATTTGGCACCTGAAGCTGTCGGACATAGTTAGGGAAATATCACATTCATTCGGGAGGAGGAAAACGCTTTGTTTCCGGATGAGGGTTCGACGCGGATTCATGTTGCAGCTTCAGCTGGGCTGCTGGAGTACATGGAATCCCGCACTTGCTTTTACAAACGCGATTTTCTCCACGCAAACGTTTATTCATAATTTAAAAAATGCTTTTCAGGCAAACTCATTTTAGGTGGATGTGGTATGATCCTGAAGGCATCCAGGACTTGCCTTCAGCTGAGAAACGTGTGAGAGTTGATAGCCTGGTTTCTGGGCAAAATTGTGATAGGAGAAAAGTAAAGGAATCAGAGTAGTTATGATCGCATGCATATACATGGTGTGGCATGATACGAGCCTATGTGTAAGCACCTAGAATATACAAATTACCGCCCAGCGCCAGGGACGTTGCGCTTCTCCCGCCGAGGACGTTCTGGTTGCTGGATAACAGTCTGTACGATGGTCACAGGGATGGAGTCGAAGTTGAGTGCCTTGAGAAGTTCCTAAGGAAAATTCAAATGTTAGCATGGAATTCTTGCCAGAAAAAGAATACAGTGATAGCTTGAGGGGAAGCCGAATTGAGACTTACTGCGGTGTCCTTGTCGATCTCCAAGCCTGTTGCACTCGTGTCAAGAGCAGATACCTCAGGTACGTAGTTATCTTTTCGCTCGCGCTCCTCCTCCTGGAGCTTGAACGAAATACCACGGACGGGCCCGCGTTGAATACGCTTCATCAGGTGGGTAGTGAAGCCAGAAACCTTGTTCCGGAGGCGCTTGGAGGGAACCACAGCCTGTATGAAAGAGATGAGATAGCACCAGTAAGCTGGGTGGAAGGGTACTGACAACTTCATCGATGATGCGCTTGTTGGTGTGGAAGTCGAGGGTGAGGCGGGGGTAGCTGTGCGTCATACATTAGAATCAATCATTGTTCCTGTGCAGTCATTCATCGTCTTTCTTTCGAGACCTCTGGTCCTCCATCCCCGAAACCCGGTCGACTCTTCGAGATTAGACTTACTATTTTTCGATGAGCACACGGGCAGCCCTCTTGGTGGTTTTGGTACGAACACGACCCTAACCGCGGCCTCAGAAACGATACCCATCTGTCTGATACAAACACGCACCATTTTGTTAAATTTTTAGTGTCGAGGACGTTGACGATGTCGAGGCCTTAGGGCTAAGATCATGCAGGCGAAGTTCTCGGTAATTTCCGCAGTGGCTGAAAGGTACTATACAGTCGCACAGCCACACATGCAGCTTGCAATTCAATTTGTTCGAGTCCATATTATCCGGTAAATCCTCAAGGCCAGCAAGGTGAGCCTGTGCTTATGTCTACGTGCGACATGACTGTGCTGTATTCTTGGCTTGACCGGTTCCATGCCATGGTTTATCGCAGCTCGTCTCGTCTTGACTCGCGCTTTCCGTAGCACGATACTCAGACGAGCAGGTACTCACATCACATTCGATAGTGTTACCCTTTCATCCTGCCTCTAACCTCAATAATTCAAAATGGTCCGCGTCTCCGTTCTTGTGAGTGTTCTATTTGTTTTGGTATGATCAACCTGACCGTGATTTTGTATTAGAACGACTGCCTTGTAAGTAAATTGTGTCTATGGGGTAGCCGTGTTCATTTATTGAGCTACTAGAACAACATTGTCAATGCTGAGCGCCGGGGAAAGCGCCAGGTTCTTATCAGACCTTCCTCGAAGGTCATTGTGAAGTTCCTCTCTGTCATGCAGCGTCATGGTGAGTCTGCCTTGTTTTACTGAAATTCCTCATTCATTGCTTTGTGCGATTCTCGGAGTTATAACTACGATTGACGGAATTTAACTTTCTACCCGGCCTTCGTTTTAATCCTCCGAAATATTAACTGTCTCTCAATACCAAACAACGTTGATCTTCCATCTCTCACGGATCGGGGTTCACTGTAGAGTCTACATCATTTTCTCGTTATTAGTTGCATGAGCATGGGTACTGACCTTGATTTCTCGCAGGCTATATTGGTGAATTCGAAATCATTGATGATCACCGCTCTGGCAAAATTGTGATCCAACTCAACGGCCGGCTCAACAAGACAGGTGTCATATCACCACGTTTCAATGTTCAGGTGACCCAGATCGAGTCCTGGGTTAACTTGCTCCTCCCTGCCCGTGGTTTCGGGAAAATTATATTGGTGGGCTGTTCGGAATCTGAGATTGATAGAATGTGGACTGACTTCGTTCGTGATGACAGACTACTTCGTCAGGAATTCTTGATCACGAGGAGGCTCGTCGCAAGAACGTTGGTGGGAAGCTTCTGGGATATGTCTACTAGAGTTGTATGCTATGTCGCCCTAAAAACCATGCCATGCATGCTATGCATGTTTACTCAGCTCAGATGACTCCTTTTGTGTAATTCAAGTACTGTATTGAGCGTGAGCGAAGCACAACGTGGCCAAACAGAGCAACATCTCGGTTGTGGGCGCGGCATACTTGTTACGTATTTACGCGCCTTCATTCTCGTCAACGAGATGACGCTTCCCGCAAACGACGCCTTTTCGTTAGGTCTTGCGCACGACCAGCCCCGTCGCTCGAGCTCGCGCGCCCGTACACCATCACTCCCGCGTCGCTCATCTTCCCCAAAAATATCTTTTTCTCCACCTTCCACGTCGAGCAGCATCGTCTTCTCGCCACAGCCAGCAAATGGAATGCCTGCGAAGAGAGGACATAAGCGCAAGGCATCTGCAAGAAACGGTTCCAAACAGCTCAAACACAACGGAGAAGCGACGATAGAGGAACTTATAGAGGAGGTCGACGCGCGAATAGCACGCGAGCGCAAGCTGTCCCCCAACAGCTTACCTGATAAACGCAACACTGTGAAAAAACAGATTGATTGGGAGATTCCTCGCAAGGCGTTACATTCATCCATTGGTATGTAAATTCTTGACTCCCTTAAAGGCTCCTGTATCTTTGGTCTGACGAGCAGTTTTTGGTAGGTTTTTTTACAATTTACCTATATACCTCCAAAGGCGACCCACAGACGGTCGTTATTGCTTTGAGCACTGCCCTTGCTGTTCTTGTTCCAATAGACATTCTCCGCTTAAAGTATCCCCTCTTCGAACGTGCCTTTGAGAAATGTGTTGGCATCTTCATGCGCGATAGCGAAAAGGTAAGCGTGACCAACACTAAGCATAGATTCTGACCTCACGTATCCTTAGAAATCATCTAATGGTGTTATATGGTACATTCTCGGCGCCAACACTGCGTTAATTACGTTGCCTCTTGATATCGCAATCGTCTCAATTCTTATGTTTGTGTATTTCCCCTGTTCTGCTATTCCTTGTTCATTGTACTCCAACAGCCTGTCTTGGGCTGATACAGCCGCCTCCACTTTCGGTCGTCTGTGGGGCCCGCTCACACCCCCGCTCCCTGCACGACTCTTTGGTCTCCCTCTTGCCCCTCGTAAAAGTCTGGCGGGCTTCATCGCAGCCTCACTCACAGGTGCTGCTGTCGCTGCCGGATTCTGGACGTACCTTGGACCGGTGAGAGACAACTCGACATGGTCCTGGGACGCTGGTGTATCGAGTACGTTTAGCGGTGGGAGCGCAGAAGGTGGGAAGGTCTTCAGTGGGTGGGCGGGTCTTGCTGTTGTAACTGTGTGTGCAGGTTTAGTTTCGGGCATTGCCGAAGCACTCGGTGAGTGCTTTATTGTTTGCTTTGCTCTGGTTGCTTACTCTGGAATGTAGATTTGGGTTCCGTGGACGATAACCTCAGTCTACCAATCATCGCTGGTGGATGCCTATGGGGACTCTTCAAAGTCCTTGGCTGGCTAGGCGATATATTCTCATGATTCCCCCTTTCAACCCCTCCTTCACCTTCAGCGTCAATCATCGGATATTTGCAATTTCATGTGTTCAATCTTTCAATAGTGGATATTTTACCTGGCACATGTCGATAGTGATGACGAGAGTGTGAGACAAGACGATTATGATGATGATGGATGATATATTAACCAATTTCATGCGTTTGTCTGTGCTACTTTTAATGCACTAGTTAGTAGAAGTAGATTACTATAGTCATTCATCCGTATACCGAATTCAAGCCAATTTTGTTGTCAGCGGCTACGCGCTAGAGCAGTCAGATTTTGCCCAGGGACCCACAGTAATATCGCCATCAACATGTAGATGTTATTAGGAGCAGAACAGAGGTAAGTATGAATGTACCGTAACATCATGAAGCAATCCAGAGTGGTTCTTAGAAACGTGCCCAACCAAGCAACGCCAAAAGAATAAGCAAACATAGCAAAGTCGAGTTCAAAGCATTGATCTCTCTACCCGCTGACGCGGCCCGTATACCCCGCAGTACCAACATACACCCCCTCGGCTGTCATCACGGCCGCATGCCCGCCAGGGGTGATCATCGCGACGTGACCAGTCGGCGTGGCGCTCGCTGTAAAACCTCCATGGGTGCGGTACAGTGATCCTGCGCTGGCATGTGTAGACCAGAAACTGTCATATGTCAGTGGGCTGCTCCCATTCCCATTCGCAAACGGGGATTGCGAGTTGGTACTGGGCTGTGAATGAAATATTTGTGGGTTGGACTGATTTTGGAGCGAGGTTGCGTGATATGATTGGGTGAAAGAATATTGGGGAAGGGGTTGGGGCATGAAGGGGTTGGGTTGGGGTTGAGAGGACTGTCGATTGAGGGGCATGTAAGGGTTGTATGGCTGGGATTGTGCGTGAGTTTGAATCTGTGTTGGTGTTTGGCTGTGTGATGAAGCCTGAAATTGAAGTTGAGGTTGGAGCTGCATTTGCATCTGCGTGAACCTTACCATAGTTGCTAGGTCGCTAGAATCGAGGGAACTGTGCGGAGGGGTTGCTGTCTCTGAGTTTGGTTGTTCCTGAGGGAGAGTAGCTGATTGCGTGCTTAGGTGAACAGGGGCGGGAGCAGGTTGAGACGGTTCCTGGGAGGGCGCTTTGTCGGGGAGGGTTTGTATTGTATGTAATGCAGATTTTGAGGTGGTTTCGGTAAATGAGTTTTGCACGAGAGTTGACATTAATTCAACAGGGGAATTATGTGGGGACATGGGCTGTCGGGAAGTATCTGTGGGAGGTGTTTGGCTATTGATGACCTGCTGTGACACCTCATCGACCACCACGGGTTCGGGAGGTTCGGGAACAGTTACAGTTGGAGGGAGTAAATTAATAGACGGTGGAGGAACAGTTTTTGCAGGTACGACAGGACGCAGCCCGCGTACCTGCGAATGATGGAAATACAGGTTCTCGACCTCGTTCAAGTTTTGGCGTTGCTAGTGATGAACGGTCGGGCCATCAATCACCACATCAGCTAGTAGGAGAGCGTACCCATCCATGCTCAACCTTGAGCTTTGCGTACTGCAGGCGCATCTGTAACTGTTTCGAGAGCTGGGAGTATCGTATGTTAGAGATGTGATATATGCAAGGAGCATGTCAGCCATAGAAAACGTACGTGATTTGCTTTTGCGCGCTCTAAAGTCTGCTTTCGTTTCTTTTGCTCTGCTTCGTTCGACTGGGGGGATGCTATAGTCACCATGGTATGGCCTAGGACTTGCAGGTAAGTTGCAGAAACTGACAAAGTGAACTCAACGTGACACAAAGATCCCTCTTAATAGTAAAGATTCCTCATTTGGATTGCCGCCGGGATATCCTTTCCTAGTTCATCCAAGAACACTGCGGACGACGATGAACAGGCTTTGATGGACAAGTTTGCTGCACTCGAACCGACGAGGCTTTATTCATCATCGGCGTCGGCGACAAACAAGAGGGCAAGCAGAGCACAACCTATTTCTCGATGGATTGGCAAATTACCTGCTGATATTCACTTGCTTGTCCTGAACCATCTCCCTATCCCCGACATCCCTGCCTATGCTCGAGCATCAAGAGCAACTGCTGGTCTATCCCGCGATGAGAAACTATGGGAACGAAGATGGAATGATTTATCCATTACTCGGCACGCCCTGGATGACACGTTAGACGATCTTGAATCCAAGCAAAAGCCAAAGGCTAGCCCATGTTCGCCTCCTACGATACTTGTAGATGATGATTTCGGAGATTTCACATCTGCCCCGCGCATGCCATCAGTTCCATCTCTCTCTGCTGCATTTACTTCATTCGCACTCACAGACGCATCTCCAGCAAAGCAGACTTTCCGCACCCGGTATACACGCGCTCATTCAATTCTAAACAAATGCTTGGCTCCTCTGAAGCAGCCACCCCATGCAGTCCTTTCCGCGCTCACACCTCTCATAGGCATATCTCTGTTGTCCCAGGCTCGTTCTCTTCGCCTACTCGGCTTCTTTCTCTCTCCCCGCGTCCAATCCGTAAGAAATTGGGACATCCTTCTCGCCGCTCTGAAGGCTGCTATAGATCGATTTGACGTATCACTTCTGACCGCCTTTGATGCTGCCGATTCTCGCGGAGACGAAGTGATGATGAGAGAGGCTGCTCGTGCCAGCTGGGAGGTGTGGCCTGGGATTGGGGATTGGGAAATGGGCAAGGTATGGGCTGAGAAGCGAGAGATATTGTATGAGCAAGGTCGTTGGAATCCGCTAGCTAATTTTACGTGAGTGACTTACATGATCTGTATCTTTCGAGTATCTAAATGATGTGCTCAGGGAGGAGAATACCCTTGACTTTACACCTATGGATGAATTTATGGCTAGCGTCATACGTGCGCTGGAGGAACACGGCACGAGGGCTGTGTTCGTCTTTCCGCCAGCTGCTGGAGTCCTCATTGGGTTCGCAGAGCGTGTCGCCAACGAAGTTGTGAGTTCATGTCATGTCTATTTCTCCCCCATTTCATAACTATGGGTGCGTGCAGGTTGGTGAATACATAGCTCCCCTGCTGACACGTGCCAGAGAAATATCGAATGCTCTCTATCTCACTGCAGTGGCTGCCAGCTTCAGGGAATCATGGAGGATTGTGGACGTTCTCACTACGTTGTCTAGTAATTTCAGCCACAAAGATAAAGACAAGGCAGAAGATGTCGTGTGAGTGATAAATTTCCTGGCTCGCTCGCTCTTCCATATTCGTCATCGTTGCTACATTCTTTCGGAGTACCGTTAGAAGTATTGCTAACTGTACGAACCCATAGATTCATGATGTTTGAGCCAAACATGGACGAATACCTTGACGAAGAAATAGAATCATTAAAACAGGCATTCGAGGTGATATGCAAAGAGTGGGCCCGGTCGGTACGTGCCTCCCTTCCTATTCGTGACGATCTTTGTTCCATGCCTCACCTTCAACTTGCAGACATCAGCGCTTGCATCACATGGTTTACCCACGCAAGCACAACAGACCCGCTTCCTTACTGCGCAGAACCCGGCTCTTATGAAGCGTACCGTTCTAGCGTCATTCACTGACGTGCTCCTTTTACCTGTGACCATAGTTCCACGTACCGTCGGTGCCGGAGTGGTAGCTGTAGGGGGAGCTGTAGGGGGAGCTGTTGGAGCCGTCGGCACAGGTATGGTCCAAGGTATTGCAATGCTTAATCCACAGCGGTGGGTCGGTGGTACAGGATCGTTGAACAACGCAAAAGAATATACCAGCTTCGGCCTCCGGGACGCCGAAGGAGAGGCCGCTATCTTTGAGATTGGTGCTGATGAAGAGGGAGGTGATGACGGTGTTGATGAAAGTTCAATGGCGCAATGTAAGTGTTAATTGTGATGTAGAGTAGAAAACTCATCAGCTACAGCATCCACACGAGATACTGTTTCAATTGATAGCACCAACACAGCTGCAACCTCCTTTACGCCATCTACATTTGGCACTTCTCAAACCAATGTGGCTTCCTCTACATCTGCAACAAAAGCGACGCTGGCGCCAACAGGAAATCTTGATCTCCTGTTATCTCTCGATGTAGCTCTACAGTTGATTCATGCAGATCGTGATGCGCTCAAACGCCTCGAGATCTTTGCGTCATACCCGGGCCATTATGGAATAAGGGTAAGAGAAACAATCGAAGAAGCATTTTGCGAGATGCTGGGGGTATTGTGTAACAGGCATCTAGAGAAAGGTTTTGGAATGTAAGTGATACATTTCGCGGGCCCGCCTCTCGCCTGTGTATTTGTCGTAAGGTAACCTTCCGCATTGACAGAGCAACGGAGCGGATGAATTCATACAAACCAGCAGAACACGAAGAAACTGCCAGTGTAGCGCCGCTGCTGCAATTCTTTGAGCTCGTCCATATAGGGGATACGATTCAAAGCATGGTACAAGTATTCTTTGACAAGGAACTGGTATGTGCATTTTAAAATCACGGACGCTTCTCCAGACTCTGCTACCTGTGTCAGGCTCCATACATCGACAAAACGGACTTTCTGAATGTGGTCGTGAGAGAGAAGAAACGGTTTGAAAATACACTCGATGACTGTGTTGCTGCAGGGCTCAATGCTGGAACACAGGTGTTAATGAATCAGGTGTGTAGTTGTGCTCTCCCAATCCTTCTTGGCAAAATCATTCGTGTATCAGGTTGAACACATCATCCTGACATTGACAAAACCACGGGAATATTATCCCCCAGAGGATGCTCCACTAGAGTTGGGTCCCACTCAGGGCTGTACGGAAGCTATCCGATGCTTGGATATGCATTGCAAGCTTCTCAAGGGTAGCACGAGCAAGGAGGTGCTTGAAGTATTCTACCAAGAGGTTGGAATCCGGTTATTGGCGTGAGTCTGTAAATGTTGAGATACCTTGTTGTGGGAGGCTGATATGGTGGTACAGTATACTGCAGAAGCACATCAAGCGCCAGATCATATCTCTGAATGGCGGTTTCCAAGTTATCGCCGACCTCAATGCTTATTACTCCTTCATAGCTTCTCTCAAGGCCGGTCCATCTCCGCTACTTTCAATCACATGGCGCCTGATGCCTTGTAAATAGGTACCTAATATCACTGCGGATTTTTCACATTTGAAGATGTTGGGACATGTCTTTGTCGTGGAAGACGCAAAGGATCTAGCACAGATCGTAAGAGATGTGACAAGATATGGTGGGGCATATCGACCCGAGGTATGCGATTTTCCAGCACTATCCCCGGAACAACTCCAAATAACGACGTTTTCGCTAGGATATTTACGAATTTATTCAACGGCGCGCTGATTGGAAAAAGATCGAGAAGACGGTAGACAAGACGATGTATAATTTGAGCTTCAAAGAAGATTGTATTGTTTGCTGAACTTGGGGCTGGAGTGCATTATGACGCTATGTAGTACCAACTGTATTATCTGTGTGTTCTGATGCCTCATTGCTCGATCAGAAAATGATGGAAACGATAGTGGTGGCAACTAGATTATCCTCAGTATACGTCATTTCATGCGAGGATATAATAGTTTTTCCCCGTTTGTTGTTCTTCGAAGCTTCTTGAAGGCTTTTGATTCCACTCGCCTATCAGACTGGCGGTGCGACGATGATCATCGGTCTTGATCGGCGCCCTGGCACAAGGCATTATTCAAGTGTCGTTCAAGTTTTTTTTATTGGAAAGATGTCAGACGACATTACTGCGCCTACCAACGCTTGAAGATTCAATTTGTTGTCGGAAGCCTCTTTGATGCATTCATTTGAGTTTATGGAGAATACATCTACGAATGGATAGAGTTGACTTGGCAGAAGTGCATATGAAAATGTTGTTGTCCAATGTCCATGCGGGCGGCTGTTGTGTTACCGCAGCCGTACCGGCTGTGGCCCATCGACCGGCCGTAAACATTACATAACATTTATACACAAGCACCCACTAGCACTGACGCCGTGTGCGAATCGATGGCATGGCATCGAGCAAGTCTGAGAATTTTTCTGGGATATAGTAATACTCCCGATCCCCCTCCAGCCAGAGTAACTACATGTGATCAAAGTGCTCAGCGAGATTCGTCTTAATGTTGTACCAGTGCCACTTGTAGCCAATATAGATAACTATGTGAGCAGCTAAAGATCGAATAACCTCCTGGACTTAGTAGCGCTGTTCGGTTTGGATTCCGAGTCGGTCACTTATCTAATAAGAGCACTCATGCATGATTCGTCACACTTACGGTACAGCCTAGTGCCATTCACAGAAAACACTCTTGAGCTATGCCGTGAAGGATTATAAAAACATATAAGGGCATACTAGTGAGCCTATTGCAGACCGCAGCCAGGCCTGCTCAGTACTTCTTCCCTGTGACTTGCCTCTCACAGCGTGTTTCTCCTTCATCAAGCACGATGGTAGTCAACTCCACGGGCTCGGAGCTGATGTGGGGGCCCGGATTCATTGGTGAGCCTTCTTATGCGGCCGGTCTTCGATTTCACCTAGCTGACTCTGAGTTTCAAAGGATTTATCATAGCTACAGTGTATGGACTTGTACCATTCAGTCTTTGCTACTGAGTGTTGACCTGTAGGATTTCAAAGGCTCTACGGGACAGCTTTCGGACAGTATCTCTTCTATGTGCGATCGTTTCCGCAAGATTCAAGAAAACTCAAATTTTTTGTGAGCCTAACTATGTACATCGACGAAAGCATCGTCAATTAATACCTCTAATATAGATAACGATGACCTTGTGAGCATTCTCCATCATGCCCGACCATGATGATTGCTGATACCAACAACGATGTCTCGTAGTTGTTTGGAAACAATACACGAGTACTTGTTGATAGGAATATACTGGTATATCCTTATTTCGTGTCGTCATAGCACGTCTTTCGAGTGCACCGCTCAACTTCCATGGTAAGTCGATATTTTTCTCCTGCACAGATTGACTCATCGAGAGGATAGGCAGGTTCTGGCAAGTTTATTTTCATTGATGTAGCGTACTGCATATTGAACGTTGCCTACAAAGCTCGCTGTACTTATGGCAGTAAGTCTTCCTTATCTAGTTGCCATCAACACTAACTGACAAATCGTAAGTATTGGATTATTTTTGCTGTTCAGTGGTACGTGGTTCCTGTAGCTGGCTTTCCGTAAGATGATGCCAAATTTACATTGGCTGTCGAAAGCTTTTATGCACGCAGGGTGTGGATCAGTGAGTACTCTATAATCTCCGAGAGTGAAGTCTCAAAGAGCTCCTTTAGTCACAGGACAAAATCACTTTTTAACGGGCATTGTTGTGAGATGGCGTTTTCATGATTGCTTGTTGCGGAGAGCTGAGCTACAACACAAATTTTTAGTGTGTACTCGCCACTGCATCATTCGGTCAGCTCTTTCGATCTTAGCCACATAACCTCTAATTTTTGAACGCTGCAGTATGTGGCATGAGTTACGTCAATCCTCCATGTCCTCTGTCAACATTCTGATATATTGCGTCTTCGTCTCTAGTCCTAAGTGGTCTAATGTAAGATGATCTTTTTCATCGAGCTCATGTGATCTCTTATATACTTTCAAAGATTCAATACGCGAAGACCTGAAGATCTATTTCATACGAAGGTCCAGTCAGCCCTGACATAGTTTTGATGAGCGAGGAACTCATACTTGGATTTAGTGGTCGCAATTAGCGTCCTTCGCCAGTGCATTGTGTGATGCTGTCACTACAGGTACAGTTTGGTGGTTTTTGCGACCGGCGCGAACAGACAACATTCGGTATGCGTCTCTCTGCTATGCTATGGTCTGACTGATGCAGCTGTGAAGGTCGAGGTCGAGGAGTTATCTCAATGAATTGTTGCGGGTTTTTATCCAAATGGGAATGTTTTCCTTGTATGTGTAACATTGCATTCCTGATGAACGTTTCACATACTTTGTCCCCAGCCTCGTGGCGACTGCCCTGGCTGTGCTTGTAAGCTTTCTCATACATACCAATCATTGAAAACAACCGTCGGAACTATTTATTTCAGTATCAATTCCAGGAGGATCTTGTTGGCCGATTCTATACCGCTGCGCCTGGAGCGGTCATAGGAAACTGTCAGTGATACTGTATGTTCGCTATGCACTGCGAAATACTAACCCTCCCGCTTATAGCCTATATTAACTCGATGCTGGCCGTGTGAGTCAACCAGTCTTCCATACGAAGTCAGCTAAACTGCTGCTCAGGCTCAATGCCAGGAAGTCCGTCCGCGAACGTGAACGATCTGCTCGCAACGCGTTGGAGCTTCCTACGATACCTACGATACATTGATTCCCAATTCTGTTGGTGCCAAACATATGTTCTTTGGCGAGCATGTGCCATATGAGGCCGTGCCATCTATCCTTCAATCGTTAAATCACAGTCGGCGCTGCATTATATAGAATCCACGAACTGCATTCTCTAATACCCACGAACTACACTCTAATATCCACGAACTATTTCTCCTAATAAATGCCAAAACTTGATCTCAGGACCGCGAGCATGCAGCCACGTATCATAGAGAGAATCTGTCGGGTGTTATCGGAATTACCGACTTGAGGTCTTCAAGCGGAGTTCAGGCCACAATTGTTGACCACGATCCAGCTGCTCCGCAAGTTCAACTGTTCAACCACCCGTCGTAGATTAATCACGGCACCGGATGTTACATCAACGGCAGCATCGTCGCGTCGTACACTGCTTGCTTGTCACGTATTTGGGAAATCGCGCGAGGTTTCGGAGACAGGTTCGACATGCATGAATGCCAAGCGAACCACTCATACAAGGTTCAAGTGCTATCAAATTCAAGTCCACCATCGACCCTAACATCCGATCTAGTTCCAAAGGTATCCTGAGATTCGGACAACAAACACGTCTAGATCTGAACTAATCCTCGAACCACCCCGACCAGTCTTGGCAGAAAAGTTTACAGCATGATATAGCTCCACGCAACAGGGACGTCGGCACCGAGCCCTGACCCTCGATCCTGTTCCATGCGTCTGGTCCATTGGGACGGAACAATTGAATTGATTTCCCTGAGCATGAAAGTGCTGATCTCCGTTGGCTAACGCCTTTTGGCCGAGGAATGCGCGACAGGGCTCGGAACAGTTTTTTTCCCGTATTTGAACGCGCGGATACCGGAAGGAGGCGAATGTGAGCTGATGACTGTGGATCGAGCACGGAAGTCACAGACACACGTATGGTCAAATTGAGCGGCCTACCGTTGAAGCTGAAGTCTGATGCATATGGATCGGTCACAGACGGAGGAAACGCGCATGGTATGGTGATCGCCAAGTATGTCGTCACTTGAACTGGCCATGTGCCAACGAATTTAAGGAACGACAATGTCTGCACGCACAATCATGTTGTGGGGCCACACTGCTTTGTAGAAGAAACGAGACGATTGCCCTCGCTTGCAGCTTGCAGGACAGGACCGAGCGCCTGTCAAACATTCAAGCGCCGCGCGTTCTCCGCGAGTCAACAGCTTCTCTTCTTCATTGATTCATCATTCATCCCCTGCGTTCAAATCAACCCAAGTACGTCTTAGTAGGTGTCGGATAATAGCCCGGGAGCCAACGTCTTGGTTCTTCTAGTTGATTGACTGGGTATTCCATGGACAATGTGGATAGCACCGGGCATGCATCGCAAGGGGTGCGAAATTCAGGCCGCCGCCCAGCGCGCAGTAGCTCAAAGTTCCGAGTTCCATTGCCAATACCCAGCAAGCGATCGAGGGTATCGGGAGTGAATGCGGGGACGGTGTTTAACGACGGGACGGTGCATCGAACAGCCGTTACAATTGTTATCATGCATACCCATAGCGCTTGTTTTTTTTTTCAAGAACATCGATGGTAATTTATTAAATTCCCGAATTGTAGAGATAAGCCGATCCACTGGCAAGTACTGCGGGATTCCCCAGAAGCGCAACACACGATCAATCAGCGCCTTACTTCGATATGAATATCGGTTGGCTTCGTGTGTACCCGTCGAAAAAAAAAATGGTCAGACAAGGTACGACTCTCACAAATGACGAAGACGATAGATACGACTAAATTCCAAGGGCCAAGGCCCCGATGGCATTAAAATGAGCGGTGAGCGGTGATAAGTTATCTATGAGGGTGAAGATGTGGTGGTCGGTGTGGCTTGGCAAGGGCGTTATGTGGCGTGGTAAAGCTGGAGCAGGCTGGAGCAGGCAGGGTAAGTTGTTTACCCACAGCGAAGACAGGATCAAACTGTGATCGGACCGCAAGGGAGCGCTTGAAAATGGACATGTGGGTTCCATTGTGATCAGAATGATTTCATCTCTGCGGAAATGAAATCGTCTATCGCCTCTGATAATGAAAAGAGCCCAGAGGTGGAAGAGCGACTTGACGGTCGGATGATAAGAAGACAGGCCTGGTGAGAACTGATGGATTTGCATGATGTCATCCCAATCACACGAACGCAAAGCCTCCAGGACATTGTCTAGAGCCAGACTTGAACCTGGCATGTGTTGTTGTCCGGAAAGAATAACGGACGAGTTGCTAAGACGATTGTAATTGATGGACGAGGTGAACGCGTGGACACAAACGTTGATCCATACAAAAATAAATTTATCGTAACCCAAGCTTTACGGTTTGAATGCAATAGAATTCTTCGCTTGTTGAACGGCTAGTCCTTATTTGTACCGTGAGAAAGTAGTAGTTGTGAACTTCGTTTAGCGCTTAGTCTTTTAGCTATATTGAAAACGACGATGACCAGGACGACAGTGACAGCGACGACAACGGCCACGACTACTACTTCTACTACTACAACAGTAATGGCGACTACTGATCATCGTAAACATACTCCAGTTCCATTACTACTCGAAGCATTTCCTATACCACCATCACATATACCACCATCACCTAATCCACCACCATCACTACCGCCAGCTGCACCACTACCACCAGTCCCAGGTCCATCTCCTGACGCAATCCTTTTCCTTCGTCGACTATCCTCTTCTAGTTCAGATCATTCACACCGAACTAGAACTAGAAACGGAAGTTTATCAAGCTTACGCTCATTCCAACGGAAACCTTCTTACGATCTAACCCATAATACAATATCAGAAGAAGGTCCCCCGTCAGAACTAGAGAGACCTCGCTCAACAAGTCCAGACGTTCCAGCTATCATACAAGCAACATCACGCTCACGTTCGCGCCCTCGTAAACGTAGATCATCACACCTACCCAATCCTCACGACTTCGAACCCGACCAAGAAGATCCTCACGACTCGGATTCAAGCATCGATCTACACACCCCTTTGCCGTCAGTCTCTGTCTTTACGTACCCACTCTTGGTAATAACTCTCTTTTCAGCCATCTCATGCTCAGACACGGCCTCCTCTCTCCCCACTCAAAACTCCTCCCATCATCACCTCTACCTCAAGCTCGTCTCTCCATAGCCTCATCAAAATCTCAAACTTCCTTCCAGTCCTCCTTCTCAGACGTCTCATTACTCACCAATAATTCCACTGGAAGCAAACATCCAAAAGATTCAAGAGACACCCCTAGCAGACGCGTCAGGCATCGTGATGGAAGGTTGTTGAGAGGAGGCATCGGCCTTACAACTGGTTTGGGTTGGAGTGATAGGTAAGCATCTCCGTTCTTTGAGATTGGCGGGCTTGCTTTCAAGGCAGGGATTGTCGCGCTTTTATCCTCTCCCATCTTCGCTTCTCTGTTTTATGTCGCTTCCGTCCCGCCAAGAACGGCGGTTTGCACGGACACACTGCCTCGCTCAAAATCAAGCGACATCTTTACAATTTCCGCTCACCTCATCGGGCCACGCCCCGAGTTATCCATATTGAAATCCAAATACTAACTCTCCAAACAGCGAAGACGAAGACGCCCCCTCCCCACTCACGCGTCGTCTCTCAGCCCTCGACCTCTCCCGACGCTCATCCGCCACTTCCATATCCACGTCCCAATCTTACTCCTCCCTCCGCTCGCCACACCCCCTCTCACGCAGCATATCCCATTCTATCCTTCGCGAAGAGAATGAAGAAGATGTGGACGAATTCGGCCGTGTCGTCCGAGTACGCGACTCCCCGCCCACAGATTACGAGCCTGACGAGCAATTCTCCAAAAGCCTCCCACTCAACAGAAGCAGCAGTAAAAAAAAACCTCTCACCTTCCGCTCAAAATCCCGCCCTCACAAACCCAAAGACGACAATGCCCGAGTTCCAACCTCACTTGAAGACGGGATAACCCCCACCCGTGCAGACTTTCGCAACAGCTCAGGGTCGAGTTCCAGTGGACTCGGGACGGGTACGGGTGGTGGGATTGGTAATGGTTCAAGCACCGCTTCTACTTCGTCCCTGTCCCTTCCCTTCCCTGCGACGCCCCAGAGCCCCGTAGCGTTTCCGGAGACGAGTTCTCACATCTCTTTAGGCATGGGTTCGAGTCATCCAATACACCCGATATCTCATTCGTTAACCCCATCATTGAGCAACACCGACAAGTCGCTCCCTCCGCTCCCTTTGACCCCGAAGAAATACCCGCCTTCGCTTTCGAGGTTGAGGACGTATTCGAGCACGTCGAGTGTTGGGTCTCTGGAGTTGAGTGGGGGGCTTAGGGTTAATGTTAATGATGGTGAGGCCGGGACGGGAACACCAAAGCCTTCGTTGGGCGGTGTGCCGAGGCCTTCGTTGGGCGGTGTACCCCGATCGTCTTTGGGTGGTGTTCCGAGGCCTTCGTTGGGTGCGCCCCGACCGTCTTTGGGCGGTGTACCGAGGCTCTCGTTGGGTGGTTCGCGCCGACCGTCCTTGTGCGGTGTGCCTCGCCCGTCATCAAGTACCCCCCGGCCCTCGATGAGCCACAATCCATCTGCATTCAACAGCTCGTTCTCGACGCCTAATCCATCTCGGTTTACGGGGCAGAGCGGCTGCAGTGGGGGTGTATCCTATGTGCCACACGTGAATACAATCACACGGGACAGCAGCTTCGCGAACCCAAGGGACGGCGCCTTCGCGAACCCCAGAGATATCAGCACCATCACTATCCCAAGCATCTCAAACCCACGAGAAAGCGGCACTCAAAGCCCCCTTACGCGCAGCCTCGCGCTCCTTCAACCAGGCGAACAGCCCTTACGGCCGGGGGGAGTACTGACGTATAATCGGAACGTGCATGATCAGCTCAAGCGCACGCAGTCGCAGCCACAGTCTCCTTTGATGCAGTCGCACACGCCGATTCTGCCTTTGTCACCTATGATGCGGACGCTTGTGATGCCTTGTTCTTCGGGGAGTGTTGGGAGTATAGTGGGGATAGGGAATGGGGATAGGCCAAAGTCACGGACAGGAACGGGGATGGCGTATCGCTCATCTTCGAGTCCTGCGGGGAGTAGGATGAGGGTCCCGAGTACTGTCAGGCCTAGTGGGATTGGTGTTGCGTTGTGAGTGGCGCAGGTAAGAGGCGTTCCTTTTCCTTTTGTGAGGTCGGAGTGTTAATCTTGGTTTCAGGAGGGTGATCGGAGGCGATGTGGATGGGCAACCATCAGCATCATGGTCCTGGTGGTGGTGGACCGTGTGTAACAAACTGATTCAAGTGGGGTCCGATGGACGGTTCTGGTGCCTGAGACTTTGTCTCAGGGGCTCTGAGGAAGATTTTACTGCCTCGCGGTGCCATGTTCCTCCGACGCATGTCCACACCCTCCTCGACGAATTGACTACCCCACACTTCTCGACGAACCGACCACATCCTCGACGAACCATCTCCACACCGAGCATCAACGTACACATTTCAAATTACTGCAGATTCATATTTCGGACAGTTACTTGTCAAGGGACCTGGAGCTTTCAAATATTTCCTTTTCGAGGCCTAGCGCTTTATCTCTTCTCTACCTCTCTATTATCATGCCATGGACAGAATCGCTCTGTATCTCTTTATCATGGGCCTGGAACGCACGCATTTGGTTTGGATTCAGATTTAATGCACTTTCACCTCATGCTGCTGCAGGACTAGTACTGTGCCTTTTTGCATCTCATCTCATCTTGGCCGTCTGCATGCCCGAGCCCACCTACTTCTCCCATCTCATCCCACGAGTGTTTTATCTGTCTTGGCATCACATCCATATCCGAGTCCCTACCCCCGCCGCCGCCGCTACCACGCGTTCTACTTACCTCAACACTCCTTACCGATCTCGCCATCAATCATCCATCATGTCTGTCAACAGACAGGTATATAGCTCTAGAGCCGCTGTCACATATTATACTCATCATTCTCGTTCTCGTTCTTTGTTTTATATTTAGGATGCGGCTGAAAATATTGCATATATTGTACATACATATACATATCACTTGGAGGATTTTTTTCGTTGTGCATACTTATGTGGAGTAATTTGAATTGTACATTTTGGAGATTTGACTTGGAGGAGTTGGTAAAAGTGTACGTAAGAGATTGGGTCTCGAACTTGAGGCGTGCCTTACTGTTTCCCGTGAAAGTCACATCTGTCAAGAGACTTTTTTGCTGCTTTGACAGATGACTTTTACGGGAAACAGTGAGGGAGACCAGAGCCTCTTACCCAAGTAACCGTAAAAGTAGAAAAATCATCCTTCGAATGAGGCGTGCTGCCCCAATATTCAAACAGAGACAAATCTCAATACGACTCAGTCGCTGGATCATCGAGCCTGCTGCTGCCACCAACCACCATCCCAATCTTGTTTCATTGGTTTGTTTTTATCCTTTGAGAGAAATGATTGCGTGCGGTTTGCATGCTATTGTAAGCCTGCCGGGTTGCTAAAGTTCCCAGTGGCACCCACAATCTACATATGATACTGTCTGCTGAAACACAAGCTTTCAGTACCACTGCCTTTTTCGTAACGGTCAAACAGACGACAGTCTTGACTACTCACAATTGCTATACACACATGTGCATATACTGAAGGGTTTTGCTGCAATAGTATTATTTCTGATCGGTCGATTGACTCGGGGGTCTGAGTTGATTGACAGAGGAGACACGCCCTCCCATTCGCTATCGACTAAGGCTGAATGCGTGTATCCAAGTCCTAAGACTTTTGCTGTTGAGGAAGACGGAGGTGAATTGATGCGCGTTCTCTTACCAAAATGTTTAGCTGTAACGGGTATTGAAATAGCTAGTGGCCTTTCAAAGCCCCGCCCGGTGTATCCTGAAACGCAGTTGAAGCTTAAGTTTCACCACCGATCGGCAATTGATAGTATAGCGACATCGCTAGATTGAATTCGGGTTTGACGGTGACTAACAGATTATGAATGAATGATTCTGGTGGGATCGCCTTAGATTGTGGTGGATGATATGACATGCCTGGACTCCGAGCCAAATCGGGCTTACTAAGCAACTAGTGTCGGCCTCAGTAGCAAGTTGTCGTTCTGACTCTTCCTTGCTGACGCTACTCGATCGCCGGTGCCCGCAGGCCCCTTCGGCAGTTACTAATTGGCACTCGTCATTCTGTGTTTTCTGCGCTGATCAAACGTGCACCTCCAGATAACTCGGAACATGTCGGCTATCATTCGACACGGTCATTGATTTTCTCCGGACACATGGATAACCTACCTGGTTAGCAAGCAGGTCAAAGATACCGATGGACAATACACACGGGGCGGCAGAGGGGTGTATTAATAGATCCACCTCTCTCTTGGATCCCGGTGAGAGGCAGGATTTGAACATTGAATATCGGCTTCTCGGAGCGACACGTAGGGAGGAATGACTTCCAGGACGGGGCAGTGAGGCCGACATAACACAGGTTTCATACGGTAGGAAATTGGCATGCGGCGCTCAGAATGGTGCTCAGGCTATGAAGTAGCAAAAGGTCATCGTGAAGTGAGCGGGAAACATGGAAGGTGTGCAGTGAACTATGGTCAGTTCCTTGTATATTCAAGATGGGGTGACTGACCGAATGCGACTCGATCGGAGAACAGGAATGCGCTACAGTTGCTCAGTTGGTGCTATATATAAGCTGTGTCGTGAATATGGCAACTCTGAATTGACCGAAAAGTTCCTTGCGTCTTGGTAGATGCGCGTCGGGTCCTGCTGAGAAACATCGAACCATAAGCGATGACTTCGGATTGCCATGCGAGAAAGCCATGCTGCGCATAGTAGTTGAAATTTCGAAGTATGTCTTCGTTTATCGCCCCGTCACGGTATGACTGACTATTTTGAACCGTTCTTGTACGATATGACACATCATACCTACCAGTCCGAAGGCAGGGGCCGATGATCTTATCCAGAAATAAATCCAAAGAAGATCAAGCTGTATTGTATCATGCTCGAAGCTATTTCAAAAACACAACTCAATAATGGTATGTTTAACGTCACGTAACATATGCCGCGCTGGCCCAGTTTGCGGACAACATGTATATCAAGAAGGAACGTGTCTCCCTTCATCTCCTACTAGTAAGAGAAACCAGTGGGACTCGGGCAACCCGACATGGATATGAAATTTCCATTCGCAGATGTATTCGTCGCTGGCGGTTCCATAGTTGCTGACCTTGGTCATCGAAATCGGAACGATACCCTGGCAGCAATACTTGTGCCAGCCACATACCGGGCTGAATTTCAAAATGCCGACCATCAAGATGGTCACACAGTGCACGAGCAAAACAGGCATCAAGTGCCGCCCGCAAGTCATCAGTTGGTTATCCAATCGCGAACGATGGCCAACATCTTTCCCAACGTGCTTCGGCCTGTTTGCTGTGCTATTCTTGTAAGTATATCTCTATATCTTGATCCTATTATAGTTCGGGTCTCATGATTTGGCTATTCCTCAGACCTTAGGATTAGCGCTATAATTCATCAAAGGACTGCCGCATCTGAAGCACAAGTGTTTCGTCACCAGCAACTTTGGATCCTTTATCGAGAGCCGCCGAGTCGCACAAAACCGATATTCCAATTCAATTGTTCGATTTGGAGTTCCCTTGCTTTCCTCATTAGTTGGCTTACAAAATACTGCCTTAGCTTGCGTTCGTCCTGTATACCTTGAAGTTCCTCGTTCTAACGCCACACCACGGCTGTTTCTGGCGTCTTCATTATCTTGATGGCACTCACTCCATAGCGGTATCAGCTCACCTTCCCGCGGCTCCGAAGAGTTTGCGGTGGATCGTGGGACTGAACGTGTGGCGTCCCTTGTAAGGTAACTTACTCCTTTTTTTGATACCGCTGCCTTAGTCTTTGCAGTGGTACCAAATGCAGAATGTCAACATTGATGCCACATCAACGAGAAATTGCCCGATATACTAATTTTCGGCGAAACATTCGCAGCCGGAAACTAAATCTGGGGGATAAAAGTAGAGTAAACTCACTGTCAAGTGCCGAGTAGGGAACTCGTTTACAACAGCGCATCAGATGCCCGTCATATTCGCAACAGAAGGTAGACTATGATTTTGTGTATATACGAACTCATGATGCCCACCTTCAGAACTTTGGTTTGGTCTGCGCTGATATCTAAAGCTCCTGTACTGCCGCTCTGGAGCAGCTTACACACTCGACTTTCGATAGCTATACTCACAGACCTCTTTATGTGGTAGCACTCGCAGTGTGAAATCTCTAATCAAGCGAAGTATGACATGGGCTTTATTGCCTGGGAAGCTCGCTGCGTTTGTCATCTGGCGGTCGCCAATCCCGTTCCAACTTTCTTGTTTTCAGCAAACGAACCGACGACGACGTGGTAAGTGGAACAATTTCTCACTTCCCCGAGGCGACTGGTCGTGAAGGTTTTTCTTATTGAGAAGGAATCATAGTGGATACAGTCTCCACCCATGTACACACGTCAGTGCTCTTTCTCCGTGCTCAGCGCTCAGCGCTCGTACGCTGTGCTACCATCCGTCAATGTCCAGTTGAGATATCAGCAAGAGCTCCCGAAGAGTAGCATTATCGTACCACAGCCCAAGAAGTGACATCTATGTGTGCGTAATAGGGGGATGATTCTCGATGGACCAGAATACATTGTGGTTGATTCATGAATCAATTACATAATCACGTTGGAGGCTTGGCCACTGTAAATCCAACATGGAATAATCTCTAGGTACCAAAATGTTTGCGCCGCAAACGCAATTTATATGTGCTCCGTCACAAATAAGGAGAATGTTCGAATCTCTAGGCAACTGGGGATGATTGAGATCGACCACCGTCGCTATCCTCCACAGTCTGACATATCCCAAAGCAGCGACGGCTACGACTTCATCGACATGTACGATAGCTTATCGATATTAGGGTGCGAACATCAGGCACTCGGAACACCAACAACATGATACATGCGTCTCGGGCTCGGGGACCCCTGTCCTATTCTCTGCTGTGAGGGTGCTCTCACCTGTCCGCCATTTCCGCCGGCTGCTGCACCAACTTGCTGACCACAAACTCTTGTAGCGCTGACTTACAATTTAGGGTATATTTAGTGACTACTTATTATTGACTCATATAACGATCGGGCTCGGGAAAGCGCATACGTACGTTGTCACTTGCAAATTCACAGCCTCGGGCCACTTGAACGGAGCACTGCGTATCATTTTATAGTAGCAGCACTTTTGGCCTGACGCCACAGTGTGTCATGACTCATCAAAATTACGTGTGAAGGCTATTGCTAAGCCGAATATGGGATTTCCGGCATTCGGGAAATCATAGGGGTGCCTAGTCAGTCCTAGCCAGTCATGCTAACGTGTTAGTCCGGCTTGTAATAGCTCGCGTATTTGCTTTGGAGTAGCACCACCTATAAAATCCCTCCGTTCACAGCTTACTGTCATGTACTCGCTTCCATCCCTTTGCTAGGATGGACCGTGAACTGAAAGCTCGCAATTCTGCTGCAACCATAGTCGGGGATCAAGATTTCAGCTTGGAAAAACATCTCAAGGATATCATAAAGCGGTATGTTCAGGACCATCTCATCAACGCCCATCTGTGACTGACAATTCATTGTAGACGTGATGAGGAAGAAATAAAATCACGCGAGCTCGGTGTCGTGTTCAATGACCTCCGTGTGGTGGGCATTGGTGCAAGAGCATCATTCCAACCGACCATTGGGTCCTTATTTAGCCCTACCTCCCTCTTGCGCACAATTACTGAAGCTCGTCATCCACCCGTGCGAGATATATTGTCAGGCTTTGAAGGCGTCGTTGCACCTGGCGAAATGCTACGTGAGCATCTCCGACTCATCTCATCGCATATACCTCATGAAACCTTATTCTTTTAGTCGTTCTCGGAAAACCTGGGTCAGGATGCAGCACCTTCCTCAAGACCCTTGCCAACCAGCGTGGCGAGTACCATGCTGTTGAAGGGGATGTTTCGTATGATTCATTCACCCCTCAAGACATCCATAACCATTACCGCGGAGACGTCACTTATTGCCCAGAGGACGACGTCCACTTCCCTACCTTGACGGTCGAGGAAACATTATCCTTTGCCATCAAAACTCGCACGCCTCAGACCCGTTTCACCAATCAGTCAAGGAAACAATTTAATGCCGAATTCTTGGACGTTCTCCTCAGAATTTTCGGCCTTCGACACGTTCGAAAAACTGTCGTCGGTAATGCTGCGATTCGCGGTGTTTCGGGTGGAGAGAAGAAGCGTGTTTCCATTGCGGAAGCACTATCTTGCAGAAGCATGATCGGCGCATGGGACAAGTAAGCTTTTCTCGTGGTAGGCTGTTCTGGCGTTGACTCGGCACCTTTAGCTCCACTCGTGGCCTAGATGCTTCTACTGCACTTGAGTTTGTTCAAGCTTTGCGTCTAGGTACCGACATCGCACGTCTAACAACTATCGTGTCCATTTACCAAGCCGGGGAGCAATTGTATGAGCTCTTCGACAAAGTATGTGTCATCGATGAAGGTCAAATGGTCTATTTTGGGCCGGCCAGAGCCGCCCGTCAATACTTTATCGATATGGGCTATGAGCCCCTTAACAGGCAGACTACGGCAGATTTCCTCGTTGGTGGTACGTTCCATTGCCAAGTCTCTTGCTCGCGTGCCTGATCATCGATCATCAGTCACCGACCCAATTGGCCGGAAGATTAGGTCAGGGTTCATAGGCACAGTACCCCGAACGGCCGAGGAGATGGCCGCCCATTTCCGCGCGTCTCAGCTTGGCCATCTTAATCGCCAGGCAACTGACGAGTATAGGGCACTTCATGTTGGAAAATCCGACCGCAAAGCTGCATATCGGCAGAGTGCAGTTATGGAGCATTCCCACCATGCACCCAAGAATAGTTCATATACTATATCTATCCCTATGCAAGTCAGGGCTGTGATGATTCGTCGTATGCAAATTATTAAGGGCGACTTGTCCGCGCAGGTGGTACAGTTATGGTGCGTTTGGATACGATATCTATCATATGCCGTTCTGACACTACTTTATCATTCAGTGCCCAAATCTTCCAAGCCATCATCATCGGATCTGTCTTTTTGAAATTGCCTGATGCAACCTCGGGCTTTTTCTCTCGGGGAGGTGTTTTATTTTTGTAAGTGCATTGTTCAGCCGTACCAAGGGACGATCTGACACCATGTAGCGCTCTCTTCTTCGGCGCATTATCTGCAATGGCAGAAATTCCCTCTCTGTTCGCCCAGCGCCCCATCATATTACGCCATCATAAAGCAGCGATGTACTACCCCTTCATCGAGGCTTTTGCTCATACAGTGGTAGACATACCCATTACGTTCATCATTCAAGCTGTCTTCTGCGTCATCCTTTACTTCATGGTCGGCCTGCAAACAACAGCATCTCAGTTCTTGTGAGTGCATGTCACGTGTCTCTATCTGAAGCACCATTCTGATATCGGGCTGCAGTATATTTTTCTTAGTAGTCTTCAGCATGACCATTACGATGAAGGCATTCTTCAGGATGCTCGCGGCCAGTTTCAAGGATGAGTCCGGTGCAACGTCCATGGCCGGTATCTCCGTACTACTTGTTTCCCTGTACACCGGCTACACCATTCCTCGTCCAAGTATGCCAGGCGCCCTCAGATGGATAACATATATCAATGTGAGTATTTTCTCTCTCTCTGTGTATCATTTGAGCTTAACCACTTGGTAAAGCCTCTTCGTTACGGCTTCGAGGCCGTCCTGACGAACGAGTTCCACACACTGAACGCTACTTGCAGCACACTTGTTCCCCAAGGTCCAGGATACGAGAATGTTTCTTTAGCGAACCAAGTTTGCACGACTGTCGGATCACTGCCTGGCTTGATCACCGTAGACGGCAATAGGTTTGTGAACATGTCGTACGGCTACTCGTATAGTGATCTGTGGAGAGTAAGTTGATTATATAACCACAATCGTCCTTTCTGAGATCTCATACTCTGCAGAATTATGGTATCATCATTACCTTTGGGATTGGCTTCTTTGTGCTCCTGCTCATCGCCGCGGAGTACAACACGAACTCCGCGTTTGATACCGCGGTGACTCTCTTCAAGCAAGGAACGCGTGCAATAGAAGTTACTGCTACTACGGAAGACGAAGAGAAATTTGACAAGTTATCTACCCGGCCACCATCTTTGGACGGTGGTGCAGCGCAGACCGCCGGCGCACCTGCACCCTATAGTTCACTCGAAAAACCAGAAACCCTTGATGTATTTACCTGGCAACACATCCAATACGTCGTATCGGTATCCGGCGGAGAACGGCGTTTGCTCGATGATGTCTCTGGGTACGTTGCACCTGGAAAATTAACGGCTCTCATGGGCGAATCTGGCGCTGGAAAGGTTCGTCCCACATCTATCTTGAGAACTCTTCATTCAACGTTTTATCACAGACAACGTTGCTCAATGTTTTGGCTCAACGGGTTGATGTCGGAGTCGTCACGGGAAATCGGTTCGTCAACGGGCAGCCCGTTCCCGCAGACTTCCAGGCTCAGACGTGAGTCAACTTGCTACTGGTCAAGATCTTTCGTTGATAATTCTTGCAGTGGCTATTGTCAACAAATGGACACTCACTTGCCGCAAACAACTGTTCGCGAGGCTCTTCTGTTTTCCGCTCGCCTACGACAACCTGAGTCTGTCCCATCTGCGGAACTTGAATCATAGTATGTTCACATTTATTCACCGTACGCGTACAACTGAGAGTTGTGGATAGCGTAGACAAGTGCCTGACCATGTGCGGCCTCGAAAATTATGCTGATGCTGTCGTTGGATCACTGGGTGTTGAGCACCGCAAGCGTACTACCATCGGGGTTGAGCTCGCAGCAAAGGTGCATACTTTAGTGCCATATTTTCGATGCAGTGCTGACAGTTTCAAAGCCCAAACTGCTTTTATTCCTCGACGAGCCAACGTCCGGCCTCGATTCCCAGTCTGCCTGGGCAATCATGACGTTCCTTCGTGAACTGGCAAACAATGGACAGGCCATTCTTTGCACGTGAGTGTGTTAGATTTGAAATTTTATTGCGACGCTTAAGTGTTGTAACCAGAATCCACCAGCCCTCTGCTGAACTCCTCCAGGTGTTCGACAGGCTATTACTTCTGCGCAAGGGTGGTCAGACCGTCTACTTCGGTGATATCGGCGATAAATCATCGGTTATGCTGGATTACTTTGAGCGCAACGGAGCCACTCACTGTGACGCCAATGCTAATCCGTAAGTCGTTTCATCTACGTCTTTTAAATGTCACTCAAGGTGATATTCAAGTGCTGAGTACATGCTGGATACCATTGGGGCCGGCGCAACCGCGACCACCTCTGTCGACTGGCATGACATTTGGAAGCGATCTCCCGAAGCTGTTGGACTTCAAGCGCAGATTGAACGGATACACGCTGAAGGTCGCGCACGGCCATCGGTTGAGACGGAGCGTCGCTCTGAATTTGCCACCTCATGGATTCATCAAGCGGTCAGCCTTACGAAGCGCAACTTCCTTGCGTACTGGCGTAACCCGACGTATCTCATCGCGAAGATCATTCTCAACATCGCGGGTGGTTTGCTCATAGGGTTTACCTTCTACAACTCCAAGGATAGCTTGCAAGGGACACAGAACAAGCTTTTTGTGCGTTTCTTCCATGCTCGCTGTTAAGTCACGTGCTAATTTCAGTGCAGTCAATTTTCCTGGCAACTGTTCTCTCTGTTCCCATATCTCAACAACTCCAATCCGTCTACATCGACATTCGCTCCATCTATGAAATCCGGGAGCGACCGAGCAGAATGTACAGCTGGACTGCACTGGTTACGTCGCAAATCCTGGTCGAGATTCCCTGGAACATCTTATGCTCATCGCTATTCTTCGTCTGTTGGTACTGGACAGTTGGTTTCGCTACCGATCGAGCAGGCTACACATACTTGATGTATGGAGTCGTGTTTCCCCTCTATTACACTACTATCGCAGAGGCGGTCGGAGCCATGGCACCCAGCGCAGTGATCGCATCGCTATTGTTTAGCACAGTATTCTCATTCGTCGTCATCTTGTGTGTTCAGTTCACTCTTTTATGGGTCCAATCGCTAACGCCTCTGAAGTAACGGTGTTTTGCAGCCTTTCCGTGCGTTGGGTTGGTGGCAATGGATGTACAGGGTATCCCCATTCACGTATGTCGTCGAAGGCATCTTGGGTCAAGGTTAGTGCGCGCTCTCTTTCGTATGACCTTTACTAAGGTGTCATCCAGCTATTGGTGGACAACTGATCAATTGCGCGTCAACTGAATTAGTGACCGTCGATCCTCCCAGTGGACTCAGTTGCGCGACGTATATGGATCCCTTCATTTCTTTTGCCGGGGGCTACATCACGAACCCCAATGCTACGACTGCTTGCCTATACTGCCCTTACCGCACCACCGATGAGTTCATGTTCAGCAATTTCAACATCTTGGATTCTCATCACTGGCGAAACACGGGCATTGTCCTGGGCATCGTCGTGTTTAATGTGCGTTCCTTTTGCTCGACTGCCCTGCATGTGCGCTCATGAGTTTTAACTTTTAGGTATTTGCCATATTTGCTTTCACATACATATTCCGCATCCGCAGGGGCAACATATTTAGTCTTTTCAAGGGCCGAAGATAGAAATTATATCATTGCTATGTCGAGATTGTGGCATTCCCAACTGTAATCAGTCTAATGTTCTATACTAGCTAGAGTCGCTTCAGCATCAATTTAATTAGCAGTTTGTGAAATACTCATCACTCATTCACATGAGTAACGTACGTCCATGTAACAGCTCCGATGGGTATATAGTCAATCTTCCATAAGAGAATGCACAGCACAACTTGCAGATCACCGTATCGACAGAATCCCTGACCTTGTCGAACTCGACCTCTCTTTCCCTTCTTTCTTTTTCTTTGCGCCCACCCCCTCCCATATCCTCCAAAACTTCAGATTCTCATCCCCGGCACCCGTGCACACGACATCGCCTGCAGGCCCTACCGCTGTATACAGCACCCGTGAGTCGTGTGCGTCCCGTATCTCCGCAATACGCTCGAGCGACGGGTACGCGTGCACCATAATTGCGTTTGTAGGGTACCCATGTGTCGTGAGAATCTCTTTTTTATGCGGTGACCAGATGATGGAGGTGACTTGGGATGGCGTTTTGAGGGAGTGTAGACGGGCACCGGTACCACTGTTCCAGACGTGAACAGTTGCATCGTTTGTGCCCCCGCCGCTGGCCAAGAGGGAAGATTGCCAGGGGCACCAAGCAATTGCCTTCAGTGTGTTAGATATATCACATATAATTGAGACTACAGCCCACCTTTACAGCTGCGGTATGGTTCCGCTTCGTCCACTTGGCCTGCCCGCGCGCGCCCTCCGTAACATCGCCCAAGCGTCCATCCCAAATATTGACAACATTGTCGTTACCTCCACTCGCTAGAAGTTCGCCATCTGCTCTCCACTTCAGTCCGCAGACTTCTCCTGTGTGTCCGAGGAGCTCCATGACCTTGTGCCGAGGGACACGGACATCATGGTGCCATATACTTCCGTCCCCACATCCAGAGCTGAGTATATGGGCGTTCCAAGATAGCACAGCAATTTGACCCTGATGTCCACCCATCGTCCGGAGCTTCTGTCCGGCTTCTACATCCCACAACTCGACTTCGCCAGTACCAAGACCAATACCGAGGTAAGCACCATCATTCGAAAAATCAACGGAGGAGACATATGTGCCCTCAGGCGCTTCACTAAGGTGAGAGACGATCCCTGTATCGGCCCGCCAAACATACGTGCTCTCAGCAAGGGCGACAGCAACAACGTTCTGGATAGACCATGACACCAGATTGAGGTAAAAGTCATCAACCATGCCTGGAGCATCGAGGACACGCTCGGGCTGAGTAGGAATGCGGCGGGACTTGTTGGTTGTAGAGCTAGTTGAAGAAGGGAGTTCACCTGGGCGTCCGTAGAGCGGACGAGCTAGTTCACGCTGCTGGGAAAGCGTAGAGTCTGAAGATGAAGCTGGGGGCGCCTCGTGATAAGCCAGCACGCGGCGATTGAGAGGGACACCTGTGGCAGCTGCAAGACGAGCTGTATGTCCCGGTGATACAGTTTTTGGGTTGAGACTCATGAGTTCGAGCGTGGCAGCAACATCGTCGGCTTCACGAGTAGTAATGAAACGATCACGATTGTCACCGGTAGATTGCGTGCGCTCCCGAGTAGCAGGAGTTGACCTTGAGCGCTTGAGCTCTGGTCTAGGCTGTGATGTAGGGGGCAGGTAATCGCGTGAAACGACATCCAAACGGGTCTCGATACCGCCTTTTCTGATGACTCCTCCACCCGCTTGGCGGTGAAATGAGTCTGAGACGATAACGCCACCTCCAGTTGCGCGTTTTACGGGAGAAGCTTGTCGCGATTTTGTAATAAATGGATTTGAGAGGTCAGCAGGATGAGATCGTTTCTGTGGGGAGATGGAGATACTATTGAAGGCAGAGATGATAGACGGAGTGAGCGGTGTCTTTGCATCTGAACGTGATCTATAGCGAGATGGTGTTTTGGGTATCGAGGTCATTGTGACACACAGCGAGCACCACAATCAGAACGACCTGAGAGCAAATGGAAGGCGCAAGGAAAAGAAAACAACAATTGTGTGATCTTGAGCAATAAGCATGGTTTGTGGCATTTGAACGTGTAGGCACGTGTATATCACGTGCTTTGTTTTTCGGTTTGATCTCTGTCCACGTGCTTTGTTTTTCGACGCGTTCCAGAGTCTGTCAGCCGCTTTGGAAATCCTCCAAGTTGGTGTCAGCCAACTTGCACTGGATAGTACTAGTATGAAAACAGTCCGTGTGCGAATAAGACTACATCCTCTTTTCTTGCAACCACGACCATTTTTATCTCCGTCGTTTCCACGACGATTCCACGTTCATTACCCGCCCGGATGATGTTCCTCAGAACCATATTCATATCTTTTCTTCTTATCAGCATAGCCCACGGTAGTCCCATCGATTCACCCAGAGATGACATACAGCAGGTAGAGACCGTCCCATTCACCGGGGTTAATCCCACAGATTCACCCCTGACGCATGGCCCTGACGGTCTCCGCCCCGCCTCAGCTGCAATGGCAATGATCATTGGCGCTGCCCAGTTCAAGGAGAATGATGCTCCTGCAACCGTGCCCACAGCCTATGAGCAGCACACCACCCCTACGGCTCCCACTGCTTTATTCCTTTCCCCCACTACCCATGCGACAGCTTCGCCGACTCATGTCTCCGAAAGCTCACCTGATATTAAATCTGCGCCACAGTCAAATCCCTCTCAGCGCAACGTCCTCGTCCTCGCCATTGTTGTCAGTTCTGTCCTCGCTCTCGTGGTCTGCGTCACCATCGGCAAGTACACTCTCGAGTACCTCCGGAAGGCAAAGCGCAAGTTACGGCTGTCGCAGGAGTCTTGGGGACACAGGGAGAGGCCGTTCCCTTCTGAAGTGCCTGTGCCCGATACAGAAACAGAGCACCAGAGCTTGAAGACATTCTCGTTTCCCGGCCAGCCGGCCCGCAAGGACGTACGTTTGTATGACCCCAACGAACCATCACCCAAGCCCACCATGCGCACCCGGTTCAGCAACCTAATCGCGTACACTGCATTCAGGCACCGTGATCACGACAGCGTCACCACCCAAGACAGTGCTTCCTCCACACCCTACCTTCTCAATGTTCCCGGCCATTCAGATCACTCTCGTACCAGGAGCGCGCCCATCATTACTCACGATGACTCCACAGCTACTGTGAAACCTGCCAAGTCTACAGAATCGGATTGGGATATTGCGAGGTCGTCCTATCGTGTATCGCAGGCGAGCGCCAATGTCCCGAGCTCTTTGCTTCCTTCTAGGGGCAGCAGGTTGTCCAGACTCGATTCGACGTGGTAGTCCTGTCAATCCATTGTATTTCAGAGGTTACTTCTACTGTGCTCAGAATGGCAGAAAACGATAGTACGCAAAGTATCACTGAGTGCAGCAGGCGTGTGGTATCAAATTACAGAAATTATGGAATATTTGAATGAGAAAGGAATGTAATAGGGATTCATATGCAAGTGAGGGTGTATGAAGTCATTAGGGTTCAGATCAGTATCATGCATTACTTCCGGAGACTAGCAAGCTTCTGCTGCAGACCGGCTAAGGGGTTGCCCTTGCGGATGCGACAGATGTACGTGAGCGTGAAAATTGCACAAACCTGCAAGGCACACAATTAGCTCAATGAAGGTACTCAATGGCAAGAACTTACGTTGAAAACGGTAATACCAAGCATGATGCCCAAGTCACGCCAGTGGTGAGAAGACTTGATGTTAAATGCGGCGAACATATAGTCGTCGGTCGTGCGGTAAGGACAGAACAAACATGTGGACGTGGCGCTGGGGTCGGCGAGGTAACCGCCAGCATATTCCATGAATGGATTCAGGTATTCGGAGCAAGTGGATCCACTGGGAGGGATGACAGGGACGAACTCATGCTGAGCGCAGTTAATATCACTGCCACCAATAGCTAAAGGAAATGTTAAGAATCATGTACTGACTTCGCTCGAAAGACGCACCTTGACCAAGCAGACCCTCGATGAAGTAAGTGAAAGGGGAGACGCGGTACATCCACTGCCACCAACCGAGCGCACGATATGGCTGTAAGACACCGTTGCTACACAACAGTAAGGGACAAGGTCATATCACGTGCATCTGCATTTACTCACAAGATGACAACAAACGAAAACAGCGCACTGAACAGAAGTGACGCGATCACAGCGGTTGGAGCCATGGAAGCGACCGCCTGCGCGACAGTTGTGTAGTACATGGGGAATACGATACCATACATGAGGTATGTGTATCCCGCGCGATCGTTGGGGAACCCGACAGTCCAGTACCAGCAAACAAAGAAGACCGACGAGCACATAATGTTCCATGGAAGCTCGACCAGAATTTGGCTGACAATGAGAGCGGTCCAGTTGTACATCCTGCTTGGGCGCTCTCGAATTTCATAGACAGTCCGAATGTTGATGAACATCGCCTGAAGCTGTTGCGAGAGGGGAACACAAAGTACTGAGGCTAAAAAGATCGCCTAACAAATAGGTTAGAGATTTTCGTCATGTGCTACAAAACATCACATACAAAGAGCTTGTTTTGGGTACCCTGGAGCGAGTCACTGGTCTTGTAGAACGTGAAGCCAATAAGTAAGCCTCCCGCAATGCAAAGCGCAAACTTGGCTATGAGATAGGTTGGATTCCGCCAATATGCCTGGAAATTACGTTGTGTGAGGGCTACAAGCTGGTGATACCACGACGTCGCAAACTCGGTGGGCCGTGCTGCTTGAACGACAGGGCGAGCGCGGCTTTCATTGTGGATGTTCTCAATCTCCTCTTGGAGTGTGGCAGCCTCAGGTGAATTCTTCCAGATGGAGTGCCAGTCGACCGAGGTCGACGCTGTTGCACCTGCGCCAATGACATCAAGCATGTACTCGGCCCTGGAATAAGTTGTCAAGTTCAGAAGGGTTAAGATACCACCAAGAAGTACATACGGGTTAGCATCAGGATGGCATCGAGAGGCACCGTTGCGCTCGAAGTAATCAAGCATGGTAGAAGACCCTTCGCCGATGTCACCGA